TTGAATGCGATTTGTATTGTCATATGTGCAGTTGTGTGCAGGAATCAGCCCTTCATTTGTTTGTCTACTGTGCTAAAGTGGCTCAACTGTGGAACAAGCTGGGGTGGCCACAAATCAGTGACTTTGCTGGTAATAGTATAAGTGATTGGTTTTTTTGGGCTATTAATTTGTTAGATGTTGAAACTCTGCCTAAGTTTCTAATGACTTGTTGGGGTGTGTGGGGAAGCAGGAATGATAGTGTGTCGAAGGGTGTGGTTTTTGATATGAATGTGGTGCTGCGTAGGTCTATGGTGTTCCTGGATTGTTGGAGGAGTGCGAATGAGGGAACTCAAAGGGGTCAAGAACATTTGAATGTTGTGTCATGGTCAAAGCCAGCGCATGGGAGACTAAAGTTGAACACAGATGTAGCACTGAGGCAGGAGAGTAATGAAATGGGGCTAGGCTGGGTTCTGAGAGATGATAATGGCGTTTTTCTAACGGCCAAGAATATGAGGATTCCGGGGCTTTATATGGCTAAGGAGGCGGAGGCTCTGAGCATACGAGAGGCTTTGAGTTGGTTAAAGTCTACTGGGATGGGAGATGTTGATGTGGAGACAGACTGTCAAACCGTTTTTAATGCTTTACGTTCACTGTCTTTTAATTCTAGTTTTGGTTTTTTAATTGAGGACATTAAAGTTTTAGCTTCTGAGTTTGTAGATGTTAAATTCTACTGTGTAAAGCGATCTGCGAATAGTGTCGCTCATATTGTTGCTAGGGAGGCCTTTTCTGTGTCAGGTTGCGGAGAATGGTTTGATTCTCCTCCATCATTCCTTGTGAACTCTCTTATTCATGATTTAATGAATTAGTTTTTCTTTCTCAAAAAATAAATTGCAATTTATAGAGAATTAGGTCAATTGAAATATTAAAATGAGCATCTATGATCATAGAAACCACATAATGTTACTGCATTAAATTGACACAAGTTGATTCATAAAGAACCCATGAAAAATTGACTAGTAAATAATATAGCATTCATGTCGTATTCACGGAGTTGTAGTAGTTAGTGTGCATTTATGAAAAATGTACCGTGCATTACTGAAGAAGTTTGCATGTTCTCATATATATATATATATATATATATATATATATATATATATATATATATATATATATATATATATATATATATATATATATATATATAAAAGCTTATGATCCCATGAGAACACACTCCTAGGAGAAAACTAAGAACAAATTTTAGCTTTGCATCTGTAAAAATCGGACAGAGTATATCATATTTTAAAAAAAATACGGAGACATTTTCGTAATTATCGTTAATTTCACTTTGCAAACTTGGAAACTTAAATATGCAATTGTAACAACTAAATATGCAAACCCAGATAAATTTTAAAAAAATTAATGAAAAGACTAAATTTTAAATATAAACCTTAAATGCTAGACCTTAAGCAGTAAAAAGTGAACCTCTAAACCAAATAACTAAAAAAAATAAAATAAAATAAAATACTCAGTCATAAACTCTAAAATCCAAACCCTAAGTGCAATGCACTTTCGCATTTTTGTCAGTGCAATCTTTTAATACTAAATGTGCAAACCTGAAAAATTTTGAGAAGTGCATATTTTAGTGTTTAAGATTGCATAGTAAAATTGGTGATAATCATGAAAAATGCCACCGCATTTTTTTAAAAATTGATTCGATCCGTTCAATTTTTCCAGATGTAAGAATGAGATTGGTTCTTAGTTTAATTTTCTCCTAATAACTTGTTCTCATATGATCCAACAACATCTCAAAGCTAGAGTTTGGACCTTTAGGCTAGACTGACTGATTGGGTGACTTGCTATAGCGCTTAGAGTTAGTCTAGTGTAAGTAGAGAAACCTAATGTGTAAAAATAAAAACAAAAATAAAAGAAGAAGAGTGTTCATAAATATTATTAACAAGAATTGAACCCTAATCAATAAAAATAATAACATTTTTAATACATATCATGTTGTATAGAAATACTAGTGTGATATCCCTACGATGCACGGACTACTTATTAGTAATATTATAGTGAAATTTTATATGAAATAAAATATATATTTTTTAATTTGAAATTTATATGTTAAAATGTAATTTTATAAAAGTTGAATAATTTAATTTAAAAAAATTGACATCCAAATGCAAGACAATTAATACGCAATTACCACATCTGTTCATAGTGAAATGCAAAGTATTATAAATTTACAAATTATTGAAAATTTCATTCTTCCAAAAGGCTGAACTCCAACCCTAAGGGCCCCCCACACCCCGACCCGACAGAGCATTTGGAAGGATTATTGAAAATTTCATGGTACTATGGTTAATTGTTAATGGAGAACTTGTACTTGGGTCCTTCGTCGTAATTAATATTTTAAGACCATCTGGATTGTTGATCCAAGAAGCAGCAACGTACAACTGATCATGTACAAAAACTGATTTCTTTAGTAGCAACCCAACATGTGATAGTAACCGCACCGAAAGAAATGATCATTAAAGTATAAAAAATAATTATTCGAAAAAAATATTATAACATTATTGTTAGTAACCACACTGAAAGGTGTACAAAGTGATCCATGGAATACACTAAATACATTACTTTGATTTCATTTTTTAAGAAAAATTACTTATAGAGGAGGTTCTAACATTTTGAGTAGATGTTAGATCTTCATTCTTTGCAATAAAAAATATATAATGTTATATACATATATCTAATATCAAGTATAGTTGGCATATCAACAATGACATAGCAATTATGTGACAAGTTGATGACATTAGGGATGGGCAGTTCGCCAACTAGCATGTGGTGTGATGGCATCTCATTTACTATTCTAAATCGGTGGTTATAGATTCGAACTTCAATGGTGGACGGTTTGGACGGTTCAGTTCAATATAATACCGTCAATACCATCATTAGGATAGATACAACAAAACACAACAAGTGAGCCAACTGGAGAGTCGGTTGAACAAAAAAGGGAATACTCAAGCAGTACACTCTCACCAAAAATAATTACTAGGTATGAGGTATGGACTCACTTGTACATGTAATTATTGTGGTAGAGAATTTAAGTGTCCAACAACTAGTAGAACTAGTTGTTTGAAAGCTCATAATCAAATTTGTGCTATATTTAAGAACCATCTAGAAAAGGTTGTAGTAGTAATCTTATGGTGATAGAGTTTAATCAAGATTCTTGTAGAAGGGCAAATGTTAAGATGATTATTTTGGATGAATTACCTTTTTCTTTTGTGGATGGAGCGGGGTTTAAAAAATTTTGTGGTGTTGTTTGTCCAAAATATATTATCCCTTCAAGAAGAACAATTACAAGAGATGTAGTTAACTGTACATGAATTAAAAAACTTTACTGAAGAGCATGACTAGTCAGTTAAGAGTTTCTTTTACTACTGATATATGAATTGCAAGTACTACTACTGTTAGTTATATGCTTATCACTGCTCATTATATTGATGTGAACTGGCAGTTGCATAGAAAAATTATCAACTTTAAATCAATTTATGATTGGGATATCAAAAAAGTGTTTACTATCACAGTTGATAATGTATCTGTCAATGATAGTGCAATTAAGATCTTGAAAAAAGAACTGAAGTGCTAGAGAGATGATTCATTAATATTTGGTGGAGAGTTTATGCATGTGCATTGTTGTGCAATTATTTTGAACTTTATTTTGAACTTGATTGTAAATGATGGTTTGACAGCGGTTGGTAGTAGTGTAGTTAGTGTTCGTAATGCATTGAAGTATGGGAGATCATCAAACTCTAGATTTTAAACATTTAACGTACGTGCAAAGCAAGATAAATTAACCAGAGGAAGTTTAATTTCAGATTGCAATACTAGATGAAATTATACTTATCTCATGTTGTCAGCAGCTTTTAAGTATATGCCAACATTTGATTGGATGACTGATGAAGACAAATTGTATGATGCTTACTTTCAAGAAGATGAAAATGAAAAGAAAAGGATTAAGCCGCCATTATCAAGTGATTGGGAGAATGTTCGACGATTGCCACAGTTCTTGAAGCTTTTTCTATGATGTGACTTTGACTTTTTCTTTATAAAAAAAATGTGATATCTAATCATTGTTTTAATGATATATGCTCAATTGAGGCAAATTTGAATGCTTTCATTAATAGTAGAGATGTCAACATGTGTAACCTGACTTTTAAAATGAATAAAAGTATGATAAATATTGGAAGGGTCTTGGGATAAAAAAAATTATTGGTTATTAGTAGTGTGTTTGATCCAAGAAGCAAGATGAATTTTGTGATTATTTGTTTTGAAAAATTGTATATATGGCAAAGATACACCAAAATGTATTTGAAATGAAAGAAACAGTGGAGGTGTTGTATAAGTATGAGATATACAATTCATTGTATGCTAAACCAAATGCAACTACAAATCAAAGTGAGAGTGAAAGTCAATCTTGTTAAACTAGTGAATTGAAATTTTTAGATGTTGATGTTGCTGTTGGTAATGTCCCACCAATGCAAGACTTTTTTTCATATACTCGGAAATGGTATGTGAAAAATGAGATGCAAAAAATAAACATCAAATAAGTTAGATATGTACTTGATGGAAAAGATCGAATAGTAAGTTCATAAAAAGCACGCAACAATATAATAACATGACAAAAATATACTTTGAAAAAATAAATTTAACACTCCTTTAATTTAATAAATAAGATTTTAAAATACTCTACACTAAAACAAAAATAATCATTACTCATAGTTCACATAATTATAAAGTTCATACTTAAAGACTTGCAATATGAGGTAAAATGTCATTTGTCATCTAATCGACATGATAAAGTATCATTATGTCAATTGTCAAAGGGTTCAAAAATTAATGTAGGCTTGAATATATGAAAACCCTACTAGTTTACATCTGTTCTGTCCTGCACTTAATATAGACAACGTACAAAAACTATACACATCCCGCATGCATGGAGCCCGGAGGTGAGGTGAATTTTGCACTAATGTCATTACATAATAGTTTTTAACCCCAACAAAAATTGATATAAACCATCATTCACTATCTATATATTTTCATATTTAACCTGGCCTGGCCTAACTGTATGTATTTTGCACACTACTACTTCCCTGAGTTAAATTGACATATGCATCACGAAAACCAATAAACTTGTTATTGATTTCCTCATATGCCATTCTTTCGTTTTCAATATCATTTTGAACCTCCCTGAGTTGTACCTTCTTATATTTGAGCAGATTTAGTACATCTGGATTCACTGTCATCAGATTCATCTGCTGCTCTTTTGAGAAGACTGGAAACATAATGAATGGATCCCTGAAGAGGAAAGAGCATATATAGAAAATACCATAATAAGATTGCACCAAATAAAATAAATAATTAAGAAAGTGTGCTCGATCTCATATAGTATGTAGTAGACGCTTACCCAAATGCGTGGGTTGTGACACCATTTCCTCTCATGATGACACCATCCAAAGAAACAGCGGGGTTGTTGTTAAAGCAGGAACTAGCCATGCACATGCAATCTCTGTTTGCGTAGACCTGGAGCTCACCCAGAAGACGATAAAATAGAGTCTCGCGAAGACCATGACCCGAGGCGGTTCTGTATTGCAAATGTTTTGCAGATATGTGAATCATATTGACAGCATAGCCCAAAAACCCTGGAGGGCTCTCCCCATTTGGTAAAGCAGGTTTCACTATTGCTAGCCTTCTTTGGGGACCAATGCTCAACTCACCTGTGTAAGGCCTGCAAAACAACTAACACTTCAAGAATCTTGAGTGCATGTAGAAATGGTACTCACTACTCAGTGCAGTTTTTTTTTGTTTTGTTTTTTCTTTGAATGTGTACTAAAGATGAAAGATTAACTAGGTTGAGCATGTATTATAGCTTACCTTATATCATTGAGGCATATCATATCATATCCTCCATTAATAGAGGTTCCAAGATTATTAGCCAATGTACTAAGAGCATCTGCACTGCTCAAGTACCCATGCATTTTGGAGGCACCAACAGATGATGCATGGGCATTGCAAACCACAGCGAGCATTTGTTTCTCACCAAGGTACTCCGCTAAAATCCTAAATCAAGAATATACCAAATTCTAGTGAAATCAAAATTTACATGTTTTTAAAATAATCATCAAGAATAAACAAAAGAGAGTGTTAACCTGCTAAGCTCATAGCTTTCAGCAAATCCAAGTAGTGCAACCACAACTAGTATCTCTTTGGCAAATTCATGATGTAGCTCTACAGATGATGAAGGTGTTTCAATCAGTTTGCAGGCAATGGCAGCTGCTGAGTCACCCATGCCACTAATCTGCTCCATAATTGATTCTTGAGTGCAGCAACAATTCTGAGAAGAAGAAAGTCCAATAGATTCTGCACCATGAATAAAACAGAGTTGTCAAGGATACCATTGGGGTATAAACTCACTAACTCAAAAGATTTTAATTTTTCAGCACAACTCAGTGAATTGGAGATTTGTTTATTATAATTCTATTATCAGGATTTAAGTAACAAGCTGAAGGATTCTGTTCTGTACTGTAATCGCTATGAGCATAAGGGAACTATTCATCAGAAAAGTTGCACAGAAAAGAGTAAATCTGCCCATTCTTAAAATTATGAATAGAAAATTGTATCACACTCTATTACAAGAAATGCAGAAGTTTTTTTTTTTTTTTTTTTTGTTGTTGTTGCTTTGATTTAAGAAAGGAAAGTGAATAACTATAGAGATCAGACTCTTGTTTTAATTAAGCCCACAACAAATTCATTAATGAGAGACGGTGCAATTGAGAGCCGAGTATATAGGAGTAGGCTGCTCACTGCATAGAATGTTTGAACAACACTTATTAATATCTGACCTTCCAAGTTGAAAATTTCTGTCTGAATGTTTGATTTCTTGGAATCAAGAATTTGCAGTTCGATTTCACACTGACGACTGAGTTGAGCATAATGGATAACTTCATCCTCCAACATCTGGGCAGAAAAACATTCCAAATATATTAAATATTAGCAAAAGCAGTATAAACCAGCTGGATTATTAGAAGAAGGTACAAAGTTTATGATTAAGCTTGACCAAGCCAAGAAACCTAATCCTTAAAGGACTGCCTGGAATTATAATCGAGCTCCTTCAGGGAGATGAATATGGAATGGAATTTATGAGGTATTAACTATCAGTTGCTGCTAATATGCCCCCAAAAAATCTAACAGTCAATATAACATAGATATTTCTGCAGTTCTAGTTTTAAAAAATGTATAGGCCCCATCCTTACAGATAAATAGCTGCACTCATTGTCAAAAGGTCTTTGGCTCCAATTAAAAGAATAAAGCTAATGGCTGGTGAAAACAACTTGAACACCCATATATTTAATGTGTGCAACACAAAATATTAACTATAGCCATGCCCACACATCTAACAACAGTCATATTCAGAAAACGTTGGATTTTTATATTACATCACAGAAATGTCTTCATGCTTGTGAAGTTAATAGCTCACCTTATGATTAACTATATGATCAGCTTCGCTTTCATCATGCTCCAATTTTGGAGCTTTGTAGGGGGATGAATTCTCATATGGAAAGATCTGCTTCTGTGCACTTCGATATTGGAAATTTTCAACCTCTTTGTTTAATATCTGCCTCTCTGGACTTTGAGATTGGAAATATCCAGAGTCTGCTTCTACAGCTTTTTTTGTATTCACCTATATATGAATTATTTGGTTAGCATCATACACGTCAAAAAACCAAAAATGAAATATCGGGGAAATGACAACCTCTATACGCAACTGCAACTCCATGTAACGGGAATGAACTGCTACAAAATGGAACTTCCCTTCATCTTCTGGGAGAGTGATGCTACGAACAGTGCAGCGACCGTGACAGAAGCTGTATCTCACAGTCTCATCTATCTTCAACAACTCAGATTTTATAGTAAGAGTGTGGGGCTGACCACTTTTTTCATCATCATGGATACTTTCATCAACCTCTCCTTCAGAATTTATGACCTCAAAGATGATGTTCTCCAAATGAGAACCAGGAACACAATCTTCAGGTATCTGATATCAATAAAATAATGGATCAACAATTTAAGGCAATTTAAATTCCTTTTATTTTCAAAAACAAAAAATAAAATAGAGACATAGTTACATACCTCTGATGCAATTCGCAGCTCTCTTGCCTCAATTTGAAATTCTTGTTTGAAAACTGATTTATCACCAGAAAAAACAGAGAGGGAAGCTGTAGATGATAAAAATAAGTGGTTACTGGAAAATCAAAATGCAGCTATTTAACTTACAGCTGAAAAGACCAGGTCTGGCACGCTACCAAATTCCAATCAGCATAAGGAATAAATTACAGCTAACATGAAGAATGCAGAGTATTACATGGAATGATAAACTGTTTACTCATAAACCATTTACTAAAAATGGTAGGGAAGTCTATTCTGACATGAGAGCTAACAATAGAAAAAGCAAGGCATAATATTCTCTACTTCTTTCTTTTATTTTTTCCATTGAAAAGCAAAGACGTGACAGGATGGATAAATTGTATGAAAAACGCACCTTTTTTACCATATCCTGCTGTAACTTTCAGTACTCCACCAAGGTTTATAAAACCATTTTTATCTACCTGTGTTGGAACAAGCACTGATTAGAAACTCTTACTAATGCTTGGCTTGGAGAACAATGAGCATTGCTTTTGGTCCATTCACAAGCAATCACTATATTCTAAATGACAACAAAGTGAAACGAAAGGAGAATTTGATAAGATTTATTTACCAGTTGCAAAAATTTATCATCCATCACACTTCATGCCAACTAATTGTCATAGAGATAAAGCAAAAGTTTCAAAAGAAAAAAAACCAATTAATTTCAAGAATATCTTAGATTTCTCAGTAGCCAGAGATTAATCTATATATTGTTTGACTAAATTTCACACATCTCAAACATCATAAATTCCTCCATAATTAAATATGATGCCAAGATGCACATACATAGACAGTAAAAATATCTTGGAGTGAGACTCATTTTAAGAAAGAAAAATAGTAAAACGCTAAATTCAAATCACTTCACAGAACAAATGTCTATAGAAAAGGTAAATACCTTACACATAAGACAACCTTGATCATAAGCACAGAATCCATCCATCTGCAGTTTGATTTCCTCATCTTTTTGGATATGATTATTATATTCATCCAACATCTATAGAGAGATAATTAATGTCAGAAACTGTTGAATAACAGGAAATATCTTTTATTGATTCATCTAACTCCCTTCTTATGGAAACATAGCATAGATATATACAGGTAAACAATGACCCTTACACTATCCCTATTTAGAAGACTCTTAAACTCACAGAACATGAAGGGAAGGAAGTTGAAACATATTTCAAGATATTTCAATAGTCAATAGAAACATAAATGGCAATAGATATAAAATAATACCACAAAAATACTTGTTATAGTAACTACCAAAGTCATAGATAGCTTCCATATTTATTTTGACAGGATGATAGTATGATACCTCATCAATAGAATGAATCTAATGCTATAATTAAGTGTAAATATGTAAAGTAACTGATTGTTTAATTGGTGTAATTCCTTAGTGCCTTGTCCCCTGCTTGTCAGTTCTGACTATAATTTTATCAACCTTAAGCATGATAACATTCAAAGAAGATGAATAATGATCTGGGGGTAACCCCAGCCAAGATGGCAAGAGATCCACGCTTGTAACAACAAGGTCACGAGTTCAAATCCTTGCCCCCTTGGTTTGAGCCAGTCAGCTATGGGTAACCTAGGCTGGTTTACGTCCTTGTGGTCCTTTGCTGGCTAGGCTAGGGTCACAAGACAGGGGGGTTTACTCACACCCAAAAGGGTTGTGAGGTTTCCTCGTCATCAAAAAAAAAAAAAAAAGATCAATAATGATCTCAAATCATCAATCCAGAAACAAAAAATTCATCCTCAGAAGTCAATGCTGTTATTTTCTAGTTACTGGATTCTAATTTGATATTTGTAAGCTGAAAAGGTTTGACCTAGTGCAAGGTCTTTGCATAATGCAGGGACGAAAAGGTGAATAATCTTACCCTTGTTTTCATATAGACTGTTTCTACTTTCTAGTGCTTGAACCAGTGACCTAATGATCTATGGGTCAGCACATGGCTAAAGAAAATGTCACTGATCTATGAATCAGTTACCCAATCTTCTGAATTGTTAAAAGAAAATGTCTCCAAGACAATCCAGATGAACTAAAATGTACTTTAGTAGAATTTACTGTTCCTAACTTTATCCTGTGATTCCTAGAATTGCTTTAGCCATATTTCAAATCTAGTTGTTGCAGATGGCCACATGGATTATATGTCTCATATGAATCTCAAATAACAGACTTAAAAAAATATTGTATTACATACCTCCAATTTAAGCTCCTTAACCATAAGTCCAGGTAACAATTTCTGTCCATAATTTAGTGGATGAACACTGATATGGTGCAGTGGCCCAGGCAAAACTAAGTAAAGGAAAAAGAAATTTAAGAAATTCTTTCAAGAAACTATACAATAGAAATTTGTTTGCATTCCAGTGCAGTAAAAACGTAGATTGAGATGTCAGTTCAGTTAAACATGCAATGTACCTTGAACTGGAATGGCTACAGAAAATAATTCGTCCTCTGAACATATAGACAAAGTAGTTCCATAGTTTGGTCCAATCTTGTCTAGTTCACTGGTTACAATAAGGAGGCCCTACATAATTTGATATTTGAAGAGGTAAACTGTTTATATGGGAAGCCCTAAGAATATTCATCAGTATATATATTATATAATAAAGACAAATATAAAATAAAGACCTTAATACGTAAAGAAAATTTATCTTGTGATGTATACACATCCATAGCATGGTCGTAAGCAAAACCATCATGTTCAGAATGAAACTTGATTACAACATCAGCAATAGGTTTGAACGGTATGCGGTTCATGTATCTATCATAACAGGCAATATTGATACATGGAAGAGGTTCACCAACCCTGTCCAAACAATTACATTTATACCATATTAGCTATTTATATGTGAAACTAGAGAAAAACTGGTATTTCTAACAAGTTAAACAGAGAAAATTAACTTACATGGAAGCAAAAAAGAAAAGCTTTGGGTTTCACAAATATTTAGATTGTATATTATATGCAACATGAAGTATGAAGGACATATTTTACTTTAAAACTTAAGTAGAACAAGTAATCATCACTTTGACCAAAGTACAATGCAAGCCATCACAAAAAAAAAAAAAAAAAAAAAAAAAAGACTCATAGGCGCAGGGTATCATGTTTAGTACTTAAATATAATCTGCTGAGCATATAATGTGTAAAATATAAATATGTAGTATCACTATTAACTTAAACTTTTTGTTGAGCTGTTACACTTGAGGGGTGTGTCAAACATATAATATAAAAAATATAAACGTATAGTCTCCCTATTAGCTTAAACTTATAGTTGAGACGGAACACATCCTTCAATTTTATCAACATGGTAGAAGCTGCTGGATTGAAATCCAAAAAATATGTATGAAACAGAAGAAGCCTTACCGTGTTCTATACTCTATGCTGTTTTCACTTGAAAGTCCCCAACTCACTGCCTCAGACAAAGCTTGCACACGCACTTTTTTTTCATAAGTTGCACAAGAAGTTTTTTTCTAAAGAATTATATTTTATGAAATCAATGGTTAGAAATGGGTTATACAACTTACTAGGAATGCAGTTACAAACACCAAACATGAGTTAATGCTACTTACAAGTGAAAATAGAAAAGAATATACTCCAGCTTTGTGAAATAGCTTCGGCAACTTACTTCTCAATGGGAATATGTAAACCCCAACTAACCCTTTATGCAATGATGGTTTTATTCGATTTGAATAAACATGACTGGCATTTTCGTCATTTCCATCTGAAGCCGAAAATTTGATGTTCAGACTCATTTCAAAACTTTCTTTAAGTATGTACTTCTGGTCCAATTTCATAGAAGCCACAGCAGAATTGTATGAAGCAGGACGAACAATGGCAAGGATTTCTTCTGGAGGGTTATGTCCAGCATCAACTATATCACCAGGTAACATCTGTGATAAGGCCATAATTGAACAAAACATGTTAGTCAAAAGCAATGGTTCACAGTTTGCCTTGGAGATATAGTTCATGAAGATACGTGGTTGGTTAAATTTTAAAAAACTCAACATTCACTAATTACTTACCAAATAAGACAATCTCAGAAGAAATATGAAACTGCATTTGTAAACTGACCTCACTAACATCTAAGTCTAGAGAATGATTGGCATCCAATAATTCAATTGACGATGGGGTGGTTTCATGACGGTGCTTCAGAAGCTGGGATTCCCACTCAGCATCATTAACTGGTATACACTGCATTAAGTGACACATAATTATTTAATAACTTCTCATGACACTGAACCATCAATCTTCAGAAAATGAAGTAAAATTACCTTCTTGGAATCAATGACACTAAATGGTAAAGATTTAGAGCCACGTAGATCTATGTTAGCAATTCCTTTATCAAAAGAAAGTTTGCAACCATCCTCAGTGGGGACTCCCAGTGGCCTAAGTGTGCAACACAATGAAAGAAAGAAGCTTCAGATCCTGGTAGAAATATCTTGAAACTTCAAGTAATAAATTTACCTGCAGATAATCCTAGCATTACCTACATATAATTAAAGAAAACTTATTAGTTTAGCAAAACAACAAGAATGTTAACGGAGCTAATACTTAAACAGTAATAAATGACACATGCTAGCTCCTAATACGTACGTAGAGTTTTCTAAACATATATTAACCATTAAGTTCTGAACCTACCACCAACATCGCCTTCACATCCTTCAAGGATAATAAACTCTAGAGAGGCAAAAGTGTTTGCCCGGTGAAAGCCTGCACATGCTCCCTTCAGAATTTTGATTCTCTGTCCTGATTTCCAGGTAATTCCTTTCCTCTTGAGAGTTTTATGAACCCTCAAAACTAAAAAAGTCGAACCATAGGAACAAAAAACAACAATAGTATTGTTAATAAATGATTTTAATGTGAGAATCTATGTCAAGCAGTTGTGTGATACAAAACAAGACAAATGATATAAGGAATAAACTCCACTAAATATGTATGCAATGCTTACCATCAGATGATGTACCAAGCTCTTTTCTGTTCTCATAGCCTAGTACAAGGGTAGGTTGATCGTCGCCTGATTCAATTTCCAAATCATATCTTTCATGCATCTTAGAGATCCATTCATGATATTGCTTTTCTAGTTGTGAAAAAGACAACTCTTTTCCATCCTTGTAAATTTCAACATGTACATCTACAGGGAAGTATTGTCCACCACAATGAGCAACAAAACAATTTACTATTTATTTTTAAAAAAAAAAAAAAAAAAAGTTGAACAATTGATAGATGAAAATCTAGTACCTTCCTCAGGGGTTTTGTTGCCAAAGTTCTTTAGTGCAATGGTAAAAGGACTGCCATGCGCTAAATTTGTCTAGGTAATGAAATTCAGAGATCAGTAAAAGCGAGAAGAAATACGTAACATGAAAAATCTTATCCATATTAATTGCATTTGCATTATTGGAACAATTTGAAACCAAAACGATAAGTGCCAATACTAGAACTTTATAAATCTGCAAATATGGGAGCACTTTCCAGATAAATTATCATTTTCAATATTTCACCAGACACCAAATCTTTTCATTGTTATATAACACCCTTGTGAGCATCTCGATCTAATTTTGTTACCAGGATCTGTGTCATCCATTTGATACATAATTCCCTATAACAGTAGTAATATCTGAATTCATTGAAAGATGTGACTTTTTTTATAGTGCAGTTAACATCAAGGAGAGAGACTGTACTTAGAATAACACACCAGGATCTGACTCTGCTGGATGAAAAAATACCACAAATATTTAGTAAAGACTAAAGAGACCAATTATGTTAGATTTTAGAGTAAATTAAACAAGTTGCTGCAGGTCATAACTATTAACACCACCACCTAAAGGGAACACAAATTTGCTATTAAATTTTAAGTGGAACACAAATTTAACTTATATTCAAGGTAATTGAAGTTCCTAGAAAAAAGGGAATTTATCTTCAAAATAAAAAGGGAACCAAACAAATAAAGGCAACATGCAGGCTAGCCTATGAATGACAGAGCCACCATGGATATATCAAAGGTCTTAAGATATTAAGACATTCCTCAGGAATTGAATGTGAACTGAATGGAAATTTTAGGCACAATTCATACCTTTGCTCGCGTTGGGTTGAAACCAGCATCAGTATCTACAAATTAAACATCATTTTAGGAAGCAAATAATTGTTACACTAACACTGTGGTAGTAGTTGTTAATAAACAATGGTCGTACCTACAAAACATTTTACTCTAAAGCAGCATCTTTTAAGGGTTTCTCCTTTTCTTTGTTTGGGTTCCATAAATGGAAGCCAAGGCTGAAATTCCAGAGGAAATGCTGATATTATATTGTTCAACACTTAGCATGCATAAACACATGCACAGACACAAGTAGAGCTGGAGTTTATACAATAATTTATGGGTTAAAGATGTGGCAGACATCCACCAAGTATTTATGTATATATATATATATATATATATATATATATATATATATATATATATATATATATATATATAGATAGATAGATGGAACAATAGTAGGATCAAATTCTAAATGATTTTCAGAAATTTCAAATGGAAATACAGTGATTTTTAAATTCAGGAGCGACTAAAATGAAAACAAGATTGTGTGATTGGCTCCAAATAAAAAAAATCTACAATTAATAGTTACTATGTAATTAAAGAACAGTTCAAATTGACAAACCCAGTGATCATCTGGAAGCAGGCGACCCAAGCGTCGGACAGTAACACGGCTAAAACTTTCAAAGTTCTCTAGGTTCTCATAACCATCATCCTTTAAGTTCTCAAGTATCCTTTCAATGTTTTCTTTACCCTACACTCAACAGCATTGGAGCAGAGACATGAATGTAAATTTAGAATGTTAGTTTTCATTAAAAAAGCATTTCCAAATTCCATTTGGCAAAGAAGATGGAGAAAACAATAAGATAATACCTGAGTAACTGGAAAATAAACACATTTAAGGCGAGCATTTGCTTCTTGATGTCCTATTCATGAAGATTTCAAGTTTTACATTAGAAAGGCGTTCAGATGCCTGTATTCAAGTACAAAATTATTAGTCAACTTGTCATAATAGATCAATTAGAGCATTATGTGGACCTTGTTTTGAACAGGAATCTGAAGTGAAATGCAGTTGCAATGTGAAGTCTGGACCATTGCAAGAGAATAGGTTTGTAATAGCCACTTCTCCACCCAAGACTTCAGCCAAATTAGTTTCATTGACCTGTGAAATGTCAACAAAGAGTAATACTGTTCAAGTATATGAAATTATTATAACTTAAAATTACATTAAACATCATTTGAAATTCCTCAATATTTATGCAACTCTAAATAAAATGTGTTCTATTATCCATACAAACACATCATTAAATTACAAAACCAAAGTTCAATGTTAAATATCTAAAGAAACTGACACAAGGGCATGAATGTGCCAAGCAGTGTGAAAGAGAACAGGAATTAATGCAGTATATTCATCTAACTACATCCAGTTTATGTAGGTTTCTATACAGCTATAGTATTTCCATGCAACAAATAGATCAAAGAATAACGAAAGACCAGATAGCAGTTGTAAATTAGGGCCCTATTCACAAGTAGCACTAATATCAAGAAGTGCATTACTTGTGGCAACTTCATACTTAAGTTGAAAAAAAAATAATAATAAAGCCTCCTAAACACAAGCATTTAGAATGGTGCATTGAAGGAAGAATGTGTGTGTGTCTAAAGCTTGTAAAAAATCCACTTCTTTCTACTCAGAAGAGTAAAAGCTAAACCAAATAAAGGACGTCCTCTGTGAAAAATATATAAAAAATGTGATGCAGTTCAAAGGGTATCAAACCTGAAATTCAGTAGGCATTGTCGTTCGTCCTGTTTCAGATATTTCATCACACTGCCCATGGAAATGGAAGCAATCAGTAGATGAGACAGGATGTCAAAATAGAATTCATTATGGTGGGTTAGTTAGTTGACATATCATATATACACAATTTCCTCAACCCCTTTCCCTAAAATATGAAAGCATACAAACAACACATTCAGGATTTAGATGAACACAAAAAGAAAGAGAGAAAGGGTTAGAACTTAGAAGTAATCACAAGAATCGATTTTTACGTATGAAAATTTCTAACATACCTGAATGTAAGGAAAGTAAATGTCTTTCAGTTTGCCTTGTAGTTTCTTTATTTCTTGATACCTCATTTTTGGTTCAAAAATCTCAACCTGTCAGTATAAAAAATTCAAAGCCGCACTAATGCTTTATAAAAGGGAAAGAATTTTAATGCATTTTTATGACCTTTTTCTGTTTTTGATATATATAAAGTTTTAAGCATTTATGTAACTGAAGTACTTCCTATGATTAGCACCTTCTCCAAAGTAATAATTACATGGAACTGCTATTCAACTTGAGAATAAAACATTTAACTTTTTGAAAAAGCTGGACCCTGCTATGCAGATATCCCTGACCACATTACTTATCTTTCTTCCCCATCTGGCACAATTGAGATTATCAAAAGTAGGTCAACAAGTGAAATTATTTTCATAAGTTTGAGGTATAATTTTAGTGTGTAATTCAATGAACACTTCACCAGAACAAATAGATAAACATATAGCAAATTCCAGTTTCAAATATTATTCAGGCTTTATAGAAGTATTTGAAAAGACAAAGTCATATAAAAATAAAAGACCATATGAAAGAACTGATTTAAACTGAAGAGAATGGAAAAAATGTTACTCCGTACTTTGGTAAAACTTCCATGGGGTGATTCTTGAATTTCAGAATCCAAGGGGTCTCTAAGACCACCTCTAGTCTGCAATAGTAAGATGGAAAACACAAAAACATGAGACGGTGACAGGGATGAAACAAGGGGGGAGAGAGAGAAGAATAATCCCCACCCTCCAAGTTTTTTCAGAAGAGGAACAACTGAGTAAATCCTCTCTCTCTAGATGTAATATATACACTTTCTTTGATGCTTTTGTCTTTGAGGAAACAACAGCTCGCCTGTAATACCACAGCATACATGAGAATTATTCCCTTATTTAGCTGAAGATAAGACTCAGAATTTCTTTAACAATTCATACCTTCCCAAATGCATAGATGCAATAGGCCCTCCATACCCAAACATCCCAAAATAAGGCTGCAATCGCAAGTATATTAGAGGTAACATAGTGAATATCATCCTGGAATATGCAAATTTACACTAGCCTATTTTATAAATATAGCATTCACTTCACCACTGAGCAAAGTGTCAAATTATCACTGATTGCACCAACATCTTTAGTTTGGATTCAGTTGCTTGTACAATTTTAATTAATAAAAACCAAATTATCTCATGCAGTTACTTCAGGAGCAAAGAAAGTCAATTAACACTACATATAAAAGTTGAAAATGATCAACTTCAAGACAGCTTCTGAAATAAGTGAAACACATCTTGTAGTGAGCACAAATAAACATTCCTTCAAATTATTGTTTATTTATTAGTAATTTTTACTTTGGTTTAAAAAATAGATGAATATCTCGAACCATCACTCTACGTGGAACTCAACAACATTCAACATTGCCACCAATCATTATTTCCCAAATCTGGTATTCCGGGGGAACATTCGAAGGAATATCAACTTTGGGAAACACTTCAGGACAATCAGGCTACCTTTCTTTCCACTTAATGTCCTACCATACCAGCATCAAACTACTCCAACTCAACCTAATTTATCACCTACATCATCCAGTTCTCTATTACCTCTTCAATCAGATGTGAGTCCAGAAAACATGGTCAACCACCCGTCATCCTCTCTACCTACAATCAACCCATCCTCAGAAAACACTCCACAAAATTCACCTCCTCTAGCACCACTTGAAGACAACAACAAAGAACTTCTTGATTATAGGAGAAAACTTGAAAATATAGAGGCCAACATGCACAACAAGGACTGTTCAAACACACATCCGAGCTCGCTTGACCTTGAAAATCATGAAGGTAAGGACTCTATGACACATGAGTTAGTACCTGTTGCTATTGATGATCTTGATTTGCCTATTGCTCATCAGAAGGGTGTGAACTTCTTGTTTATAATAGGAGAAAACTTGAAAATATAAAGACCAACATGCAACGCAAGGACTGTTCAAACACACATCTGAGCTCACATGACCTTGAAAATCATGAAGGTAAGGACTATATGACCCATGAGTTGGTACCTTCTGCTATTGATGATCTTGATTTGTCTATTGCTCATCGGAAGGGTGTTAGAACTTGCACTAGTCACCCTATAGAAAGGTATGTTGCTTATGGGAAATTAAATCCTATGCATTGAGCCTTTGTCTCTTCTCTGGATCTTGTCCAGATTCCCACAGGCATCCACAAGGCACTAAGAAATCCCAAATGGAAGATTGTTGTTGATGAGGAAATCAATGCTCTCGAGAAAAATGGCACATGGGTTCTTGTTGAGTTGCCTCAAGCAAAACATGCAATTGGATGCAAGTGGATTTTCACTATCAAGTACAATCCAACTGGGAGTATCAATAGATTCAAGGCTCAGTTGGTTGCCAACGGGTTCACTCAATCATATGGTGTTGACTATCAGGAGACCTTTGCTCCTGTCACCAAACTCAATACAGTAAGAGTTGTATTATCACTTGCTATGAATTGTGATTGGCCTTTATACCAGTTGGATGTAAAAAAAAAATGCATTTTTAAGTGGAGAATTGGAAGAAGAAGAAGTCTATATGGAAATTCCACCAGGTTTGAAGAACTCCAATGGACGACTGGTATGCAAACTACAAAAATCTCCCTATAGCTTCAAACAATCACCTCGGGCATAGTTTGATAGGTTTGCAAAATCAATTGTAAAAATTGGATACACTCAGTGCCAGCATACCTTGTTTGTGAAAATCTCTTCAATAAGAAAGCCGGAAAAGCTCATTGTCTATGTGGATGACATAACCCTAATGGGAGACGATTCAGGTGAGATTCCAAACCTCAAGAGATTTCTTACATCAGAATTTGAGATCAAAGATCTAGTATCCCTCAAATACTTTCCTGGGATGTGGATTAAAAGGTTGTTGAATTAGTTTGAAAATTGAGGCTCTTGCATCTTTCAAAGTGTATATTCAAGCTGTCATCAGCATTGCTAAGAACCCGATTCATTACGATAGAACAAAGCACATTGAAATAGACAGGCACTTCATTTATGAGAAGGTGAATTCAAGGATCATTGAACTCAACTACAATCCTACAAAGAAACAGATTGCCGACATGCGACATCCTTACAAAGCGTCAACCTAGAACAAGCTTTGAAGAATTCAATTCCAAGTTGGGCTTGTATGATATATACAACTCAACTTGAGGGGGAGTGTAGAAATATTAGAATTGATATGCATATGCTTTAGATCTGTAATTAGTGATACTAATTTTGTTCTTTCCTAGTTTAGTTATCCTTTTATTTACTTTCCTAGATTATAGGATTTTCTTCCCTATAATTAGTTAAGTTTTTTTTCAGGCTTGAACAAATTATCTAAGTCTCAGCAGGTAAGCACTTTGGCCACAAAACCTGAACAAATTATCTAGATGCCACATTTAGATAATCTTAAAATTTTCAAAAACTAAGTCTTTATCCTCCCATAATGTTAATTCCTTAATACATTTGTATAATTTGATAAGATGCTACCATAAAATAAAATCAATCACCTTAAGGTAAGGAGGTTTGCATCCTATGGCCTTTCCTTTTGATGACCGGTGTACAGATGCCCCCATCTTTCCCCTGAAAGTAAATGAAAACGTATAAAGAGACAAAAGAAGATAAATCTGTCATGAAGGTAATGAGCACGTAAGAAGTACTATAATAATGAACTGTCAAGATTACTATGCAATGCAAAAGCATTTAAGGTACAATATGGAAGGGCATTAATACAAAGCAGTGTTGTCTATACAATCTGTAATGATAATTTTCTCAACATCGCAGCTCTAGCAGCCTTTTTATCAAACTTTCAGCCAATTTTAAGAAACTGCAGTACACTATTTAAATATTCCCTTATAAGTGGAGTAAATAGTAAAAAGAACCAACCAAATCATGACCATTAACTTTCTGAGATCCATAAATTTCCTAGCACCTAATAAATTTATCTCTTATTAAGGTAAACAAAAAAAAAAAAAGATTAACCATTTTTAGTATCATAAGTAACATGGAAATTGCCAATTGAAGATACCAGAGAAATAGATTTAATGATTAATCATACCAGAACCAAATTTTTATCGTTTTCTATGTGGTACCCTTTCTCCTACTGCCATTCACTATTTACAAAACAAGTCCCTTCCCAATGTAAATTACTCTAAAACCTTATATAAATATATTAATTAGAAATGTAGACATGTTGGCATCTCTTTCGACATCATAAGATCTTCAAAACATTAAGATTTGGAAGACTATTGAAACCCTATAAGTTAACCCTAACATTAAATGGAAATGACATTTTTTTCATTTGCTATCACTCACTATGGCACTTTACAACACAATTGAGACTCTTTAAACCACTTAAGTAGTTTATTTGAGTAACTTCACAAAGCTGCAGAATTTCCTTGAGACAGTAACTAGAAAATTGTATTAACCACCCTTGGAAGACACCACTTCAAAAAAATTCTCTACATTCCAAGTAAAATCAACAAACCAAATAACTTATACCACTTGGCTATAGAATTTTCAGCACTCCCATCCATTCCAAGGCCTGAATCAAATATTGTAATCTTGTCCTTGAACAACTTCACACTGCAAATAAAGGGAAGTATAGGTCAATTTTAAAATTTATTGAAGCAAATCATTAAATCCAACCAATTAACAAAATAAAAAGGAAAGAAAATAAAAATGGAGTATTACATTATGTATAACCTTAATAAAGTTTTGAGGTTAGAACTTGCGGCCAAGAAAATTAAAAAGAAGAAGAAGAAGAAGAAGAAAAAAAAAAAAAAAAAACACTTGTAAAATAGGTAGGCGGATGGTGTAACAAGCATTGCTCTAACTGTCAGGACCATCATGATGAGATAGAAAATACCATTATGCTAATCTAACATGGATATGTTAACTTTATTATTGACCAAATGCAAAAAGCAAATGAGGAAATTTTTGCATATAGTTCCATCAGGATAAAATCATTGCATTTTGCAGTGAGCATCTCCCCTATTTTCCATTCAATCACTGTTCTAATTCCATCACTACCAGTCACAACTTCATCCTTTACTTGGTTGCCATGATAATTACACTGTAAAATTTTTGCATATAGTTCCATTGGAATGAAGACATTTTGTAGTGAGCTTCTTGTCCTTTTTCATTCATGCCTTGATGTGTAAGTTTCAAATTTCTTTTAGCTATCTCTTAAACAGATAAACAAGTTTACTGAGCAAGACCAAAGCCTGTATAATATGTATATCCAGAAGCATATGAAGAGATCAGTGCAGGTTTTTTTAGTTTAGTTAAAGACTATATAATAGTTATGCATACTTTACAAAACATTATTGGTCACAAACTAGTTCCTTATTAAGTTAAAATGATACATCATCTTTGGCCGCTATATCAAATTGAACCACTATTAAAACAAGTCTAGAATAATCAAGTGACAGTTTTAAGTGAAAATGGAAAATGCCACAAAAAATTTGATAGTTCACTTGAAAAACCAACAAATTAATCAACTTCAAAAGTTGATACCTGATTAATCTCCTCTCATTTTCATGATTAGACCATACAGCTTGCAATGAATTATCCTGATAAGCATATAAAGTGAGTCACTACCAAATTATTGTATATCAACTGAAAGTGAAATGCATGATGTAGGCTTACAATTAAGTCAGCAAGGGCAGATTCAAATGAGTATTCTTCAGGTAACTCTTTTAACAAGTCAGTATCTGGAGTAAGATCCCACATATTCTACACAAGCCAAAAAGGAGAAGTCACTTGCTATTTGAATCAGGCAGAGCAAAGATTCACATTATTAAGAAGTATTGGTTCATAGAAAAATAAATTTTAAAAAATAAAATAGCAACAAACCTCAAATATTTCTGCTTCAATTGAGCCATCCTGTATTGAAATGGAATTATCAAAATGAGCAAAACGAAAAGAACAGAACAGAACAGAACAGAAATATGTAAACACAAAAGATAATGCAGGCAAAAAACTCACATGAAGCCTTAACAAATAGGATTTTCTCGGATTCAACCTCCTGAAATCCAAGCCCTTAAGCTTCCTGTCAAAAGGATCCAAAATATACAAGTTCTGGCTCTTCCAATTAATCTCCCTCATGTGCGACTCTGTTCTGCACTTTAAGGCTAAGTACTCTGCCCGTATAGCTGCCACAAGCTTATCAACGGACATATCATTACCCGGTTCGCGTATTTTCATCTCCAGAGTGGTACCGTTTGGCAGAAGAACTCGAAAACTAAATGTTTGACCTTTCTGAACACCGCTCGTATCTTCTTCATCCTCCATGCTGCAAATCCTTTTCGCCATTTTTGAGTAAACTTGTTTCTTATAACCACCACTCGCCGCACCTACATCTTCATCGCTAATCCTCTTTTTGGGCGGTGGTTCAGAGTAAACATCTGACAAAGGCCTTTTGCGGACTCGATTTGGAGAAGGAGTTCTTAAGTCCATCTGCGCGTTCAAAAACCACTAACTTCAACTACACCTCCATTTTCCTCTCTGAACAACACAAGAAAAAAACGAGAAAATACATATACATACACATATATATATTGATAAACGATCGAGGTTTTTTGGATAAAGATATGACTACATATAACAGATGGTAATAACAATTGTTTCTATATGCGAGACCATTTTTACCTTTTATGCTTCGGTATAACAAAATGTGAAGAAAAATTTTCCAACTTTCAAAGGTTAATGAAACTGGAGTGCTAAAACAAGAGAGACTTTTGTTGCTTGAGAGGAAGGGCTTTTTTTTGGAGTTCTGAGTTTGCTATTTTAGTAGGGAGAAAGAGAGAGAGAAGAATGGTGGAAGATGGACAGAAATGCATGATATATATATATATATATATATATATATATATAAAATTACGGCTGAGGCTATTGTGCGCCGGTATGCGTAAATGCGCACTTCTTTGTTTTCTGGTAGCCAACGTTAAGGCACCGGGTGCGGGGTGCATGACTATGTGTGTAATGTGTGCGCTGCGCATATCCCTTTTCCGTACGATGCGTAAGTTAGCATTGCCTTGTATGGGAAGATAGTAGGGTTTTTGACTGAAATAGGAAGTGGCGTTGGGTTATGAACAATATTAGGAAGTTTTTTTTTTTTTTTTACAATATTAGGAAAATCGAGTTTGGGAAACGCGGTTGTGGTCAAAACCGCATTTCCCAAACTCGGGTGGGTCGCATATATACGGTACTGACAACCGCATTTGGGAAATGCGGTTGTCGTATAATATACGACAACCACATTTCCCAAACGCGGTTGTCGTATACACAAAGTGATACGATAGCCGCATTTGGGAAATGCGGTTATGCTATTAACATCGCCGGCGACCTGTGTTTTTGTCCTCGGCGGTCCCAAACTTGTTTTTGTGGTTTGAACGATTGAAGCTTTACAGTACTGTTAGAGTTCTTGGTGGTTTTGTAAACGGCAAAAGTCCGAGTATGACATACAACTATTTTGTTCGTATCTCTCTTGGAATTTCCGATAGCGACAAAAGCACCAGTAGATGTGTGTGTTTCCGACGCTCGCTGCTCGCTTCTCCGGTGGGTGTTCTCGCCTGGGAGCTTCTCCGACGCCACAGTTTCGCCTACCTGGGGAGTCCGACGGTCACCTCTGGAATCCGGTTGACTTTACGGCGGTGGGAGTGGTTCCAGGCGGATCTAGAAGATATGTAAGTTTTTCCCATGGTGGATCTAGAAGCATTAGCAGTGGGGCAACGCTAAAGTTCAAATACAATTTATTATTTTCATCTTTTTTAAACACTGCTAATTACTTATCTATTTATTGATCTATTTTATATATCGAATTATAGATAGACAAAGCAGGTCATCGGCGATGTTAATAGCATAGCCGCATTTCCCAAATGCGGCTATCGTATCACTTTGTGTATACGACAACCGCATTTGGGAAATGCGGCAGCATTTCTCAAATGCGGTTGTCAGTACCGTATATATGCGACCCACCTGAGTTTGGGAAATGTGATTTTGACTACAGTCGCGTTTCCCAAACTCAGTTTTCCTAATATTGTCAAAAGAAAAAAAAAAAAAAAAAAAAAAAAAAAAAAAAACTTCCTAATATTGTCCATAACCCAATGTCACTTCCCCTTTCAGTCAAAAACCCAAGATAGTAACGCTCTTGCTAAACTGCGCGGGGATGTGCAATGGGCTACCACGCTGCACTTGTGTCAGAGTGGGGCCAGGGCCTTAGAATCGTAGGTGATTTTTTTGTTTACAATTTGTTTTTTTTTTGGAAAACTTTACAATTAGTCCTTAAGAAGAAGATTTTTTACGAGTTATGTAAGAAAAAGAAGTAAGTGAAAGAGGAAAAAAAAAAAAAACTAATAAATGTTGACCAAAAAAAAAAAAATCTAAAGAAAATGGTCAAATAAGCCCCTAAACTTTACCCCAAAGGTCAATTAGGCCCCTAAATTTTAAAAAAGTTCAATTAAACACTCAAACATGTCAAATTGGGTCAATGAAGCCCAAAAACCGATAAATGACCTGTTATTACAGGTCATTTCAATTCCGGCGACGGATTTCGACCACTAGTGACGAATTCCGGCCACCGGCAACATTTTTCGGCCACCGGCGACATTTCCGGCAACCGCGCAACTTTTTCCGGCCGTCTGGTCGTCTTTCACTGGAGAAGACGACCGGACGGCCGCCTTCTCCATTGGAGAAAACGACCAGATCTGGCCGTCTTCTCCATTGGAGAAGACGGCCGTCTAGTCGTCTTCTCCACTGGAGAAGGCGGCAGACGGCCGCCTTCCGCCTTCTCCAATGGAGAAGGCAACCGTCCGGTCGTCTTCTCCAGTGGAAGACGACCGGGCAACCGAAAAATGTCACCGGTGGTCGGAATCCGTCGCCGGAATTGAAATGACCTGTAATAACAGGTCATTTGTCGGTTTTTGGGCTTCATTAACCCAATTTGACATGTTTGAGTGTTTAATTGAACTTTTTTAAAATTTAGGGGCCTAATTAACCTTTAGGGTAAAGTTTATGGGTCTATTTGACCATTTTTTTTCAAAAAACTAAAAGCATTATGCGCTAAGAGAATAGACTCCATCCAAAAATTATATTTGCAAGAAAAAAATTTAGTCAAAAAAACTCCTTTTCCATTAGAGGCATCCACATTTTGAGTTTTTGTTAGGGTTTTTTCGGAAAAAAAAAAAATTGATTGCTTACCTAAAGAACATATGGGAACACTAATAAAAGAATTAAGCAACGGAAAAATTATTCTTACACGTCAAAAAAAAAAAAAAAAGTAAGCAATGGTAAAATGTTAGAGGGCTAGCTGGCAGCCACTCTAATTGTCAGAATAATTTTTTTCTTTTTCTTTTTTTTTTTTATTTCATTTTTTTTTTCCTCCCCTCCCTCCTAAATGACACCTCAAAAACCATGAAAAATTTAGAGCTGATGAGAATGCTCTTAGATAAAAATCAATTCCTATTTTTTTCTTCCTCAAAAACTACTATTGTGGTTGCTCTTATGATAGTACAATATTTAATCATGCTTCTTAATTTTGTTCAATTTACATTCTTAACTTTTATTTATTTGTCACAATTAATGCTCTTTTATTTTATTATTCTATCATTTAATAAATATATGACTAATATGTAATTTTTTTTTTTTTGAATGTGACTAATATGTAATTTAATCATTCAATTATAATAAAAGTTTATAAGTGGGAGAGAAATTATATGTTGGAATAGATGTTTGAATAATAAAAATATGTGTTAGTTTTCTTTATTAAATGATGAAATAACAAAATTTTAAATAATGAACTAGTTGTGACAAACAAATAAAAATCAGTGATATAATATGACAAAATTAAAAGAATCTAACTAAATGTGACAATACAACAATAGTCATAGCTAAAAGTAAAATTTTCTATATTTTTTTTATAACCTAGTCTCTTATAAACTCACTCAAAGTCTTAAAAAGGAAAAGATAAATTTTGAATTGTGCAAATAATTCTAAATTCACTCATCTCTATTTATATTTTACGTACAAGAGGTCTTTTGAGCAGCATAGTCCGGAATTTTTAAGATTCAGTGCATTATCTTATTATTTTTATCTGTTCAAATATCAGTTAATAAATAAAAATAAAATCAATATACCTATCCGTCTCTAAAATTTTATAAGAATACTAGTTTTTTACGCGCATTGCGCGATTGGAATAATGTCCAATGTTTTTTTTTTTTAAATAAGTACTTTAAAGTATATTAAGACAGGATTATATTGAAATTGTTCATGCATAAATAATTGAAGGTTGAATTTGCGTATTTAAATAGGTAATTCTTCTTCCAAAGGTTGAGTCCCCAACCCCAATGGCCCCCCACACTCCGACCCGACAGAGCATTGTGGGAAGTTGTAAATCACGGTGACTCAATGGTTCAGCAGACAGGGCCAAATGCTGATACGCACAAGGAATCTGCCCACTTTGGACTTAATTCCCGCACTGCCGCCGCCGAGGTTCATACCTTCGTCTCTTCTCCCAAATACTACCCACTAAACCATTGAGCTAAGCCCGTGCGGGTTAAATAGGTAATTCTAAGTTTACAAATGCAAGATAATATAGTCAAGATTGATTATAATTGTCAATAAAATAATTGTATAGGTATGGTTGAAACCAAATACGGGACATAAGGGAGAACAAATAAAAATTAGGACATAAAATATTAAATATATACTAATATTGTTTGAGGAGATTCCGACATTAGGATTTGTGGTTAAGTTCTATTAAGACTTTAATATTAGAATTAGATTAGTGGTGTAGTTATAATTCTATATTAGACTTTAATATTAGAATTAGACTAACGGTGAATTAACGGAAAAGTTAAATGAATAATCATATAATTAAGGATAAATTAGAAAATCTTAAAAGAAAAAATTAAAACCTGAACAATATGAACCATTCATTTGATTTGATAATTTGGCGGTCATTTTTCTACCAAATGTTAATAATTAAATAAATTCGCTGGTCAAATCCGCTAGTATAATCCACTAACGCTAACCGCTAACTGCTGATTGTCAAACAAGGACATTGTGAGGTAGTTCTCACTTCAATTTGTTGTGTTATTTGAATACTCTCGTTGTCACAAAATCTCTCAAGTAGTTAATATGGTTGGCTTTATTAATTATATTTTTTTTTAATTTTTTCATGGTATTAATAAAATACTTGGTAAATAAATATATAGCATTATTTTGTATTATAACTTTGATATTTAATTAGAAAAATAGTGCACAAAAAAGATAATAGATAATGTAGTGAATATAATTAATTGATGAATTTGAATGTAAAAATTTTTACATTTGAGAAAAATAAAGACAATATAACTAATGAAAATATTTCTTTTAATTAATTTATTGATAATTAATAATTTTTTTTTTCACTGAATAAAGACATTGTAAGGATAATGTAGCGAATATAATCAATTAATAAATTTGAATATAAAGAATTTTTATATTGAAGAAAAATAAAGACAATATAACTAATAAAATTATTTCTCTTATTTAATTGATTGATAATGAATAATTTTTTTTTTTGTTGAATAAAGGCATTGTGGACACATAATTCTAAATTAAAGAAATACATATGTATTATTTTTTGTTGTAACTACTAAATTATTATTTATATAATTTAATAAGAGTAAAATAGAGTACTAATTATGCCAACTTTGATTGGGATGAGGTTCGAACCTAAGACCTTTTTTATTGAAATCAATGAGTAAGTTAACGGTGAAC